CAATTATTATTGAAGTGATAGAAACTGATTTGAAGAAAATACCTTTTACATTACTCCATTGTTGAGATTTGAAGCTTTATTGGGTTGGGCTATGGGTTATTTTTGTTGTTGGCAGGGACAGAAATTATTTGGGTCCATCTAATTAATCTCAACCCTTCAAGTGATTACGTATTTTGGGTATTAACTGGATAAAAATGATCTGAGTTTTTTAAAATTAATCCCAACCTTTCACATGTTTATTCTAAGGTTGGGACCCACATATTTAACAGATAAAGGGTATATTTGGCCCAAAGTATAACGGAAGGGGTATATTTGACCCAAAAGTATAGCGAAGGGTATATATAAACTATTTCCTATAGTACAGGGGTACATTTGATCCTTTTCCGTATATTATTGGCTATTATAAAAATAGTTAAAACCAAGCAAGGAAGGCTTCCTTATTATGGTTAAATTTCTAGAAGGAGAATCTTTTTCAAGCTAAAATAAACTTGATTCAAAAATATTATCAAAAAAACGTCCAAAATATAGACAAAAAAGGTTTAGAAAAACGTCCAAAATATATATATGCAAAAATCATTCTAAGTAAATTTCCCAAAAACGATTTAAAAATAGGCAAAAAAGACTGTCAAAAAACGTAAAAAAAATATCAACAGATAAAATTGAAACAAATACAATACTTGCACAGTGAACTGAGAATTATATGGGAAGAGGAGGAGATAGCCCACATGATTTTGGAAGAGGATTTACAATATAAAGTGATAGGGAAATTTACATATGGGTGGGCGAACATGCAAGATCTGAGAACTCTTATTCCAAAACAATGTGAATTGAAGAGAGAATTCAATATTGAACTGCTCAGCAATAGATATGTTTTGATAAGAGCATCGAACTTGGGGGAATATGTGACTCTTCAATCAAAACCACAATTCTATATCGCTCACAAATATTGTTCATAAATGAGAACGTTAAAGTGGTATCCCATGTTCAATTAGGAGGAAGACACCACAACTACAATAACATGGATTTCATTCCCAACACTACCACCCAACCTTTTTGGGAAGGAAGCAATCTTTTCACTAGTTGTGGTTGTAGAAAAACTTTTACAGGTTGACATGATGACTCAAAACAAGACAAAACCTAGTTGTGCTAGGGTGAAGGTGGAAGTGAATTTGTTAGGTGAATTACCAATGGGGATTAAGAGAGAAGACAGAGAAGTGGTGGAGAAATGGATTCCATTTAGATATAATTATATCCCACAAGCCTTGTAAGCTTCAGGGACGCAATGAAAAAAATTGCTTTGTCTTACTCCCAGAGTTGTATCCAAAGGAGGAAAATGAAAAAGTATAAGGAAAGGAACGGGGACACAAAAATAAAAGAGATAAGAGAATACATGATGTAAACACACAGGGGATAATAATTAAGATTTTAGAGAACAAAGGTACAAAGGTTTCGGAAGTGGAAGGCGGTATAACAAGGATAGACAGGAACAAGAAATGGAATCCATAAGCTATTCAGAAAAAGAGAAGGGATAGAAAGTGAAAACGAATTGGATGCACCAGAAGCAAAAAAGGAAGATGAAACAATGAAGGAGGTATCAGACAACAAAGGAGCAGACAAGGTGAGGAAACTTAATGAAGGTGCTTTCCATGATGATAATAATAAACAAAATGAGAAAATGAAACAAATAGATGGTTTAGCAAAAACGGAGAACAAGGAGAAGATAGAAGAATCCCAAACCAATCAAGAAGAAAAGGTGGATTTGGAAGAATGTCAGAACATTGTAGAGAATCCAAAAGTAGAGCAGGTAGAAGTAAGATTAAACAAATACAGGGAGACGAGTGGGGGTGCTGAGTTGGCAACAACAATAGACACAAATGATCCTCAACCCATACCAATTATAAATCCATCACATGATACGCTTATTTTTTATAATATATCACACGAGGAAGCTAAACAAAGATGGGGGCAAGAAGAAGATTAGGATATAGGGAACAACATTGTGGACATTGTTGTATCAGTAGATTTGTCACCTATGAAAATAAAAAAGATAAAAGAAAGCAACAAGAAGTCTAGGGAAAGGTGGTTCCATTAAATATAACAACAAGGAGTAAGAAGGGGCAGACCAATCTATATGATCAATGATTAACAATAATTATAATTCAGAATATCTTAAGTCTCAAAATGTATTTGAGAGATTATTGGATTTGCATAGAAGACATCATTACACACATATAGCTCTTTTCGAGCCATTTCAAAGTCCACTGGAATTGAGGAGTATAAGAAAGTAACCTTAGTTTGTTATTGTGGAAAGTTTGTCATTAGCCGACATAGACCATGTGAACTATAACATGGAATCTGGTGTCTATCCCACACTGAAAAGAGATGTCCTTACTTTCCAAGGTGAAAATCATAAACTTGAGCTAAATTAGATCCACTAAGTAATGTCTATCTAAGAAAAACCTATGGTGGCACATAGTTATGGGATAGAGAGATTGCTACTAGAAATTAGACCTATAGTAATGAGAGAGTTCCCATCTCAATATCTTCTCGATATTAAGCATAAATTCCACAGAATATTCATTAATCATATTCATCCTATTATCCATGAAAATACACAATTAAGTAACCAATCCAAGCTATAGTTCAATAAGAATAGTTCCTAAATCTTGATTCAAACTTAGGTGAGAAAATCTTTCAACCCTTTGAATTATTTATATGAGAATAACCTTTCACAACAATAACATGAATGCTTTACTCTGAAAGCAACCTTAAAACATTTATATTGATTACATAGAAAGAACATGCATATCTTCATAAATTCATCTTTCATAGTTCATAAACTTAATCATGTGCTCAAACTTTAAAACTCGTGGGGCATGCATGAGTTTATATGAATTTAACTCCAAAATATGTAATTACCTCAATTCATGCATAAATATATAGAACACAATTAATTTAATCAAAATTGAAAAGAGCCCATGAAGATTGAAAAAACTCTAACTTTGATTGGATAATCTAACTTGTAAAATTAAGGAATTTAGGAACCCTTTGTAGGAAATGACTCCATAGGTGAATACTAACTGATGTAGATCAAAGTGATACTACTTCAAGGAGGCCTTTCACAAAGATTCAAGTGAAGGACTTCAAGCATTGCAAGTTTTATGGATGAAGATGAAACCTTTGGAAGTCTCCAACATGAAAGATTTGAAGATATTTAATATATTAAGTGCTCTACCATTTTAATTACCCTCTAATTTAATGAGGGTCAAATTGGGTCTTTCTTCACTATTTTTTGTCCTTAGTATAATTATTAGATATTAGGGTTTCATAAGTAGTTTTTGGATATGTTGAATTGTGCCTCTCGTGAGAGCTTGGAAATCCTTTGTTGAACTTCAACATCTTGCCCTAGAACTTTCAAGTAAGGTTGCTACTTTCTTGAGGATTCTAATAGATTAGGTGCTTTTTTATCTCAATTAAGTGGTGTTTTGGTTTGTGTCACCATTACATCTTTTAGTTGTTTGCACTTAATTGTGTTTATCTCTCTTTTATCTCTCTTTTTTTGTTTCTATTTCATTTCCTTCTTCTTGTTTCACATCAAATCAGTACCAAAGCAAGGCCAAAGAATTGTTCCTACAATTCCCAATTCTTGAATTGTTGTTTTCTGAAATCTATATAAAAAAAAAAAATAGTTGCTCCTCATGTGCGTCTGCAGCTTCTGCTACTTGTGCTTGCAAAGCACCAGAGGCCTTTGCTCTTGACCTGCAGACCTTGGATATGTGCCCGTCTGCTTACAATTGCTGAATATCGCATTGACTCTCCACCAACAATACTTCTCCAGATGTTTACAATGTTTGCACGGAGGGAACTTCTGCTTCACATCTCCACTATTGTTTCCTTCACCATGCTTGTCCGTATTCTTTTGGTTGAACTGTTGCTTTCCTTTACCAAATATTTGCTTTTGTACAGAGAAAGCTCCTTCAGTGAACTTGTCCCATCTCATTGTACTCCTTTGCTCTTGTGCTTGAAGAGCACTCATTAGTTCACCTAATGAAAGTTTGCCCAGGTCCTTAAATTCTTCAAGAGAGGAAGTCTTAGATTCAAACCTCCACAAGAACTTTCTCCACAATTTGTTTGTTTGTATATTCTTCACCAAGAAGTCTAATGTTATTAACAATTAAGGAGATTCTATCAGCATACTTAGTGATTGTTTCATCCTCATGCATATTCAAGGACTGAAACTCTCTTTTCAGGTTCAACACTTGCATTTGACGTGTTCTATCGCTGCCTTGATATTCTTCTTTCAACCTATCCCAAGCCTCTTTTGCTCTTTTGCAAGCCATGATTCTGTAAACACACAGAATCTGCCACAACACTTTGCATAAGCGACTTGGCTTTAGATTTCTTTGCCTTCTCTTCATTGTTTGATTTGATTTGAGCCAAGGTAGGATTTGTTGGTAGAGCAGCAAATGGTTTATCTTCCGTCACAGTTTCCTCAAGTTCATAGGCTTCCAGAAAGGCTTGCATCTTCACAGACCAGATTGGATAATTTTCATCGGTGAAAGTGAATGGTGGATTTAAATGTAGGTTGTTGGATGTCATTTGTGTTGTAGGTTAAAACTTTTTGGTCCTGTAACATCAACTAGAGGCTTTGATACCACTGTTAAAACAGAAACACTCAAGAAACTGATTGGAAGAATAAAAATAGAGTGAACTTATGAAATTCCAGTTGTATATTAATTTGCAGAAGAACTGAATTTATACAAGGAAAAACCTAACTATTCCTATCTAGTAGCCACTTACAAAGTGAATGTTAAAACTAAATAAGAACATGTGTCACTAACTTCAGAAAGTTGAGCAACTAAAGTTGATCAAGTCTAGCTAGAAAATAGAAAGCACTAAACTGAAATAAGTAAAAAACAGTTAAAATAATAAGCTGGAAAAAAATGTCAATGGTCTAACAAAATGAAGTAAACATGACTTTTATTCAAAATTACGTGTAGCTTTATCAAATACAAAAAACTACTTGAACATTGATAAACCTAGATTCTCAATTGTGAATCCACCATCAATAATAAAATCTTGGCCATTAACATACTTGGACTCATCACTTGCTAGGAAAACAGCTGTTTCGGCGACATCATTAGGAGTAAGTGTAGCACCTTTTAAGGTAGAATAAACATCTGAATCTTCCTTCCCCATCTTTTTTAAGGTATTTAAAGCTGATGCCGTAAGAATAACGTATGGCGACACACAATTCACACGAATGCCATATCGTCCTAAATCAACTGCAGCATTCCGAGTAAGTCCTAACAAGCCATGTTTTGAACTCGTGTAGGCATGAGGACAAACACCACCTATGGATGAACAAACACTACCAGTTGTAATTATGCTACCTTGAACGCGAGGGATCATGACTCGTGCTGCTTGTTTAATTCCAAGAAATGTACCTGCCAGGGAAATTAAATTTGTACTTTTTAGTCTCGGACATATGGACGAATTTTCATTCTGATCACAACATGCTTTTCAATAACTCCAAGTTAAATATGTTGAGTAAAATATCACAAGGATCAAAGCCAGAATATAATGACTTTTTCCATACCTACGAGGTTAGTACTAATGACTTTTTCGAAGTCAGATTTTTCATTTTCAAGAATATTGGATTTGACTGCTCCCATAATACCAGCATTATTGTACATGATGTCTAGCTTGCCATACTTGTCTACAACAATGTTCACAACATTTTCTAGGTCTTCCTCTTTTGTAACATCACAATGCACAAAGGTAGTTGATGATGGATCCAAATCTTTGCAAACTTTATGTGCCAAGTCGTCTTGAATGTCTGCAATCACCACTTTGGCTCCATACCTAGAGAAAAGTTTCGCAGCTGCTTCACCAATGCCACTAGCAGCACCAGTTATAATTGCAACTTTACCTTTAAGCCTAAAATAAATAATAATGATGTGTGTTACTCCTTAACATTTCATGAGTTTTTGTCTATTGGCCATGTATAATATTACCACCTCCGTCCAAAGTAAGTATTATCCTAGTAAACATTACGCTATAAATACAATATATAGTTTATTAATCTATCTTTATTTAATAAATATTTTTTCTAGAAATAAACATTATTCAGAAGATGGAATATAATAATATAGATTGAAAACTTATAAAATTTTGTCTTGAATTCCTAAGATGAGACTTATTTTGGAACAGAGTATAAACTAAAAGCTACTTTTCCACAGAAGATAACATTAATGTTGCCAATAAGAATCTCGGCAACAGGGCAGGGTAAAAAAGGGGTGGGGCGAGGAGGGGCAGGGCAGGACAAAACAGGGCAAGTAAACTACAATTAAAATTCTAAATGGGACGGGGCGGAGCTAAACAATATACATATGTGAAGTTCTACTCTTGTAATTAGAAACATGTTAGTTAAATTTTCTGTTATAAGATACCGTAATAACAGCAAGCACTGTTTGTGATCAACACTTTGTCTTACCCATGAAAACTAAGCACTGTAACTTTAAAATTTTATCTTTATATAACTTTTTATCCATATATTATTTTCTTTTAAAAAAAAAGGATAAGCAAAGCTTCATTGATAATATTTTGATTATCTTAAAATTTTCTAAACTATCGTTACAAATTTGAAAAAATAATAATTGAAGGAGCTAAGTAGGGCGAGACGAGCTAAATAGGGCCAGATCGGGCAGGTTGAAAAACAATATAATATTAAATAAATCGGGTAGGGCAGGTTGAATCTATGATAGAGTAAGGCTTCACCTATCCCATCCCGCCCTATTGTGAGCCCTGTTGCCATTCTTGTCAGAATTCAACAAATATCAGGCAGGAAACATTAAGCTTTTCCCATTACTCACTTGGGTTGTGCTCTGTTTGCAGAAGGAAGATAATAAACAATTAGAGGATGGCACACAAAACTTGTCACTTTTTAAAAAATGTATATATGACGTACGATAGAAGAATCTCCCCATTTTTTAGTTTGTTTGAATGCCCTCATATTATGATTAAGACATTAGGAAAATAGGAGTAGGGTCTTTTGTCATTTAGGGTGTGTTTGGTATGAGGAAAATATTTTTCATCGAAAATGTTTTAATGTTTTTCTCGAAAAATAAGTGGATTTCTAACTTATTTTCTCATATTTGGTTGGTGAGTAGAAATATATTTTGATGTTTTGTTGGTGAATGAAAAATATTTTTCAGAAAATATCTTTATTTTTTGCTTGAGACTAAAAAATACTCTTTAAAAAAATAATTTTTGATCCGAAAATCAACCCCGATAATTGATTTAAGACTCGACCCCAACATCCAAACTAGGACAAGACCCCGATAACCATTTTGTAATCCAACCCTGAGATTTGACTTAGGACCTCACCCAGGAAAAAAAATTTCAAAAACAATATTTTTTTAAAAAAGATCGATGGGGTCGCAGGGGAGGGATAGGGATGGCGTAAAATTTTATTTTTTTTAAATTTGAAATATGTTTCAAAAATATTTTTCTCCATGCCAAACACACTCTTAATCACAACCTGCAAAATATAGAAGCTATTGGCAATCCAATCTATAACTAAAGCTATTGAATTTGTGGATGAAAGCTTGAATGTTGCTGGTTTTCGTTGATGTTCTTCACAGAGAAAGACTCTTTGTGTATGAATCTATTGTGAGTTATTTTTAAAAGGTGGTTTGGTAGAGTTTATTAGAATAATTTTAAATAGAGTGTATTAGGAATGTTGAGATTAGCTATGTTATGATTATTTTTTATCTACGGTTTGATTCAGTGTATTTAGGGTAGTTTTTCTTTTAACTATGCTTATGATCATGTAAACTTGACTCTCGTTGACTTGATACATTCTTTTAAAAAATTATATTATTATTAAACTAACCTTATTAGTGATGCGCTAGAATTCTAAATTTGAGTACTATTTCCTTTGTTATTTATACTTGTCCACTATTTCATAAATAAACTTTTATTTTTACCTGTCATTTTTAATATATTTAGAAAAGATAATTTTTTTTATCATGATTTACCATTAGCATTAATCACTTATTTCTCAAATCATTTTTCAAGACATAATACTAAACATCAAATAATAGGGGTTGTGTAGTAAAATAGTCATGTCAAATTATTTTTTTCTTAAATGGATGGGTCAAGTCCAAATGTGACAAATAAAAATGAACAAAGAGAGTACTATTTTATGTAGTTATTTAATACTAAAGGCTAGCTTTGTTGGAGAATAAGTTATCTCGGAATAAATTATCCCGTATTTTATTCCAACCAAATATGGGATAACCCATCCTATTAATTCCAAAATTTATTATGTCTTATCCTCATGCCAAACGACGCCTAAGGGTCGTATGAGAAAAAAAAAGCTATTTTGATATGTTAAAATAAACAAGTAAAATGAAATATCTATGTTTGAATAGGGACCAAGTAAAATGAAATGAATGGAGCATTAACTGTCCTTAATATGCTAATATCATAATTTATTATGTCCTAGTTATATAACTTATAATATTGAATAAAATATAAAACCAATATATGTATTAATCATACATAAATGAAGGGGTCGTTTGATAGTTGTATAAAATAAGTCTTATCCCTGTATTAGAGTCCGTATAACGTATACGACGTTTGGTAGGTGGATAAGAAAAAGGTTATTCATGTATATAATTAATACTACATTTGGTAGGTGGATAATAAAAAAGTTATTCATGTATATATATAACTAATACATGTATAACTCTATCCAACAACTAAATGACCCCTAAAAATCTACTAGAAAAATAATTAAATTATGTCATAACTAATACATAACTTTGTTATTCATGTATTATATTTTTTATACCATGTTTGATTTGCAAAAAGAATCAAAGTTATTCATGTATTAATTTTACACAATGTTTGATTGTAAGTTTTCAAAAATTGTATAAAAGTTATTCATCTATTAATTTTATACAATGTTTGATATGGTAGCTTTTCAAGTGTTATATAAAACTTATTCCAGTATTAATTAATTAATTTATAGGATGTTTGGTTGCAGTTTTTATAATCCTACATAATTAATACTTGTAGAAATTATGAGGAAATCTATGTATAATTTATGCGGAATAGAAGGTGGAATAAGTTGTGTGTATTAGTTATACATGTATTAAAATAGTAAATTACTTCTTTACCCCTATCAATTTACTTTTGCAACAAATCAAATAATTAATACATGTAAAAAAAAGCACTATGAGTTTTCTTGCTTTGGGTTTTTTATCTTCTTAATTACTTTTAGTTTCCTTGCTTCACTTTTTGTTAATTAATTTCTTTGGGGGCAAGGCAGTGACTACTAATTGTAATTAATTTCATTTGCATAGTTTCTCTGTAACGCACTACCAATACAAGTTTTAATTTTTTTAGTTATTTTTTATTTCTTTTAATTTAAACTATCTATCGCTTAATTATTTTATCATATTGAGTAAAAATTACTTAATTACTTTTAGTTATTTTGTATTTACTTTATTGTTTTTAACTATTGATATTTATTTAATTTTAATGTGTTATTTATATAGTTTTTTTATTTCAATGGTTATAATAAACATTAGCTCACTAATTATATATTGGATTAAGAAATAAAAATTAGCTCACTAATGTATTGTAATCTCGACATAATTAAATCATGCATAAATAATATCTACATAATACGTGTATAACTAAATCTTGCATAACTAAACTCTACCTAACTAATATATAAAACTAATACATGTATAACTAAATCTTGCATAACTAAACTCTAGATAACTAATATTATAATACATATATAACTAACACAATCTTGCATAACTAAACTCTAGATAACTAATATTATAATACATATATAACTAACACGCACATTACGAATATATGCGTAACTATATCCAACTACCGTACGACTCCTAAGTGATGAAGTGTGGGAAGGACAAGAATGACCTTGTGGACCTTCTATTAGTGGTGGGGAAGGTTGTCACTTGGTGATGAGCCGCTAGTGATGGCTGAGTTGGTTCCCATTTCTATTATTTTTTTTGGAAATGACCCAAAAAATGAATAAATACTTTTTTTTAATGTGTTGGAAAAAAGATTTGAGGGCATTCAAGAAATTTAAAAAAATGGAGATATTGCTTGTTTACTATCTATCTTTCAGTAGTAGTTGAGCAAGATATATTAGAGCACCAAAACTGTGATCATACTGATAGATGTTAAAAAGTGAAATGAGAATTTTGAAGTTTTAAATTTAAATTTTGATGGTAATAAAAATTCACTAGATAATTTCATCTTATTTGTCATAATTTTAATAAATAAATTCACCTTATATCTGCTGAAAGATGTCACAAATCCTATAAAACTAATCAAAAACATATTCAAGTTGATCCAATCATCACAATTATAAAAATATATAAAAAAAATGTCTAACCTTCTTGATATGTGGGCAGCCATTGGAAACTGTAAATAGCCCTAAAAGACTTCAAGTTGGAACAGAAAAGTAAAATGTTTGGACACTAGTGCGATATTTATATATTTAAAAGGAGAGATAGGATAGAAGGATTATTAGCCACAAATTGGGGGAAATGCATCATGAAAAGTCAGTTATAGACTTAGGGGTCGTTTGGTAGAGTGTATTAGGAAAAATAACGCATGCATTAGCACTGTGTATTACTAGTACCTTGTTTGGTACTCTTTTCCAACTTATGTATAACTAATGCTTGCATTAGTTATACACTCTATTGTGTATTAAAGTGTGTATTGCTAATACCATGGATTTCTAGGTATTAGCAATGCAATGGTTTTAATGCATGCATTAGATTAACTAATGACAAAACTACCCTCTATTAATAATAATAATAATAATAATAATAATAATTAATTATTATAATAATAATTATTATTATTATAATTATTATTATATTATTATTATTATTATTTTTGTAAAAGAATGTGGGGGTATTTTTGTAAACAAATATTTTTTTAATAGTCTTTATACAAGGCTTGCTATTTCCAATACATCAAACCAAACAATGTATAAGAAATAATGCAAACATAACTAATGCAAGCATTACTAATGCTTGCATTACTAATGCATGCATTACTAATACATCATATTCAGCATTATTCTTATACACTCTACCAAACGACCCCTTTAAACTATTGTGATGATCTATTACGCACTTGAATTATTTAAAAGTGAATTTATTTAAACACTAACATAGATATAACCAGTCACATGATGAGAACGTGTTTCACACTCGCGCCACATCATCATCATGTCACTATCACATCAATAATTACGTCAGATTTTTAAAAAAAAATACATGTCACTCAATTGCATCTTCTTCCCTATACGCCATCAAATCCACCATTAAAACGCTATCATTGTTGTTATTATCACCAAATTCACTTTTTCACCATCATAAATTTCACCACCCACAACCAATTCACCACCAGCATCATCCCACAACCATTGCCATCATAAAAAAATGATAACAACCATTAAATTTAACTAAATTCACCATTGGAACCACATCACTACCAATATTGAAATTCATCAATCATAACCATAAATTTCAGCACCCACATCAAAATCACGAGTTTCATTGTCATTATCGAAATTAAAAATCTTGCCACCACTAAGTTTATAATCCATCACCAAATGCACCACAAAAAAATATTACAATTACAAATTTTATTCAAGCTCAAAGAGGAGAATGACGTTTAATATTACTAATTTTGAAGAAAATCTAAATAGAATTGGTTTGAGAGAGAAGTAAGATCTATAAACATACATTAAAAAATTTGAATTTTGTACAAAATCTAGAAACTTTTTACATAGAAAAAGAAAGATCTAAAAAATTTCTTTTTTCAAATGCTCACAATCAATAAAAAAGATAAAAATAATTGAATAATTAATGCTTGACTTCATGAAATTGATGTGGAAATAGTAAAAATTGACCAATTTTAGATGTCTCGCCGAAATTTTTTCGAGCAGTGAACCTAATTAATTAACAACTTCACCAATCTTTGCAATGAATTTCTATTCTGCAATGTTATTTTCTATTTTTTTTCTTGAAAATTTATCATAAAATAATATTTTTTTCCTTGGTCATAGCAAAAAGAGTGTTTGTGATAAAACAAATAATGGAGTAGAAGAAAGGTGGGGTAACGTGAAGAAGAAGGATGGGTGGGAAATAAAATTTACCCTTTTTTTTTACTCAAATGCGCCCTTATTTATTTTGTATTTAATTTATTTCCACATCAGCTTTGAGAGTGGTATTAAAATTCACTTTTGAGTAATATAGGTGTTTAATAGATTGTCCCAATAATTTAAGAGTGTAACTGAATTTTCGGGACAACTTCAGGAGTGTATTTATGTCGTTTTCCGCTACAATTTTTCTAAATGATTTGACAAACTATGACGTCATACTCTTAGGGATCGATACGCATAATTGGATTATTAAAGATATTTCATAAATTATTTTATTTATTTTTTATATAGAATAGTAATTATATAATTTTAGCATAAATAATTGGATAAATAACTTCACGTCAATGCCTTTTCACCCCTAGATCTAGGGATGTGCATTCGATTTATTGATTTGGTTTTGCACTATTTGATTTGGATTTTTTGGTTTTTAGTTTTGTAAAAGTGTAACCCAATTCGATCCAAGATAAATTTGATTTTGTTCGGTTTTCCTCTATTCGGTTCGGTTTTTTTCGATTTGGTTATTCGGTTATGTCAATAATTAATAACATAACCAAAGTAACAATATTAAATCCCTTAAATATACTTTCTAATATAAATCATAAGTAAAACTTAAAACACAATGTTTATAAGTATACCTATTAAAGATGTTCAAACTTAAAATATAGACGTAATCATTATGAAAGACAATAACCAAAAAGGAACAAAAAGTGGTTAACTCTAATTTAATTCTAAACCTAAATACTTTATATATCTAATTCGATTTTATCGGTTTTTATTTTTTAAAATCCGAAACCAAACAAAGCCATAAATTTAAAAGACTAAAAGCGTTCGGTGCATATTTAAGGAAATATTTGAACGTTCCCTCAAACGTAAGAAACGTCTTTTTTTATTATTTTCTTTTACATTTATCAAGTAAAATTAATTACTTGAACATGGATAAACCTGGATTCTCAACAGTGAATCCTCCATCAACAATTAAATCATGGCCACTCACATACTTAGACTCGTCACTTGCTAAGAAAACAGCAGCTTCAGCCACATCATTGGGAGTAAGTGTAGCACCTTTCAAGTTAGAATAAACATCTGAACTGTCCTTGCCTATTTTTTTTAAGGCATCTAAACCCATAGTTGTAAGAACAGCGTATGGCGACACACAATTCACACGAATACCATATCGTCCTAAATCAACTGCAGCATTCCGAGTAAGTCCTAAAACACCATGCTTTGAGCTCGTGTAGGCATGAGAACAAACACCGCCTATCGATGCACAAACACTAGCAGTGGAAATTATGCTACCTTGACCTCGAGGGATCATGACTCGGGCTGCTTCTTTAATCCCCACAAATGTACCTGCCAGGGATAAATATAATGTATAAGTTTGACTGATTAGGTTGATCAGGAGTTCAATATGCTTGAATTATCATAACAATCCATAAGCTAGGAATAAAAAGTTCAATTATTTCATACCTATGAGGTTAATGTTAATAACTTTCTCGAATTCAGATTTTTCATTATCAAGAATGTTGGATTTTATTTCATCCACAAAACCCGCATTGTTGTACATGATGTCGAGTTTGCCGTACTTGAAAACCGCAGTGTTCACCACATTTTTTAGGTCATCTTCTTTTGTAACGTCACAATGAACATAGGTGATTGATGATGGATCCAAATTTTCACAAACTTTTTGGGCCAAGTCATCTTGAATGTCTGCAATCACCACTATAGCTCCATGTCTCGTGAAAAGTCTTGCAGCCACTTCACCGATGCCACTAGCAGCACCAGTTATGATTGCAACTTTACCTTCAAGCCTAAAGTAATACAATGGCCATGGATGTTATTTTAATATTTCCTTTCATATTTATGTTTTATGTAATATATGGTTAATCACATAAAAAGATACTATAACTTTGCTTAACATTAATCTTGGGCTTAACTCATCGATGACATTCTAAAGTTGACACCATATTTCACTTATACGTCTTAGTCAAGTGACGTTCATTTTAAACACTTCATGTAAAGTTTCCTTGTGTCATTTTAACATTTTTTGCTTACATGACATAATGAGTGTATTACACTCTCATTGAATGGCGTGTGAAATAATTATTTAATTAATTTTAATTTTTTTTTCTTCTCCCCATTTTCTGGAGTTAATATCTCAAAAGGTCACTCAATTTTGAGAATTTATCTAGCAAAGTCATTGAACTTTGTTTTGTATCAATAAAATCACTCAACTTACATTTTTGTATCAAAAAAATCATTCAACTTAACTTTTGTATAAATAAAATCACTTAACTAAATTTATCATTGAATTTTTTTTTATATCACAAAATAGTATTTTTTATGCCAAGTTTACATTAATGGAGTTTAATTATTATGCATTTAATTAAGCAACAAATAAAGGTCTCTTGGGTTGGATATATATCACGGGTAAAGTGTTGATTTAGTGTGGTAATCCTATTAAATTAAGCGATTACATTAATAATTATGGCTGTCACGTCTCATTTGCAGTGGAAGTTTTGTAATTAAACTCCATTAATAAATGTATACATGGCATAAAAAATAACTACGAAAAGGAAAAAAAATTCCTGTGTAAAGCGCTAACTAATTTGTTTATCAAACTTCTCAATATTCACTGCTAGGTTAGGTTAAAGATTTTAAATTATAACCAACAAATAAGGGCTCCTGGGTGGGATATATCACGGGTAAAATGTTGGTTTAGTGTGTTAATCCTATTATATTAATAATTAAGGCTAAATTTAGTTAAATGGTTTTATTGATACAAATGTTAAAGTTGAGTGATTTTATTGATACAAAATAAAGTTTAATGACTTTATTAGATAAATTCTCAAAGTTGAATGACCTTTTAAGATATTAACTCCATTTTCTGCCACCATTTTTGCCTAAATTAAATTTCATCCACGGTAAACTAAGATTTCAACAAAATAACAGAGTAAACTTCTTTAAACTAAGTTAAAAAGAAAAATTTAAACCAACAAAAAAATTCCATTCACCATCAAGCTATTTATTAAGCCCAAAAAAAGGAAAAATGATCATAGCTGCAGATGTTTCTGCAAAAGGAAAAGCCAACGGGGGCGGCCAGTTTTACTGCAAAAGGCGTTTTGTTTTTGTCTGGGTGGCGGGGGTTGGGAACAAATCGGGAGGGGGATTTGGGGGTTTGGGGTGTTTCTGCAAAAGAGTTGAGGGGTATTTGGAGAAGACGACTCAGTTGGTGGGATGAGGTGGTTGTTCTTTTTATTGATTTCATATTTAATTTTTATTTTATTTGGTAATTATTTGGGTCATGTGTCATTAATTCATTGGTCTATTTTTATTTTTATTTTTACTAAAAAATTAATTATTTAAAAATTACTTTTGATACAAATGACAAATATTATCGTTTAATTTGTCATTTTATACATTATTCGCGAGTGTAAAATACGCACTATTTATTTTTGCTGACATTTAAAAAAGTGTCAAAATGACACAACAAAACTCTACATGAAGTGTCTAAAATAAGCATGACTCAGTTAAAATGTCTAAGTGAAATATAATAACAATTTTAGGAGATCACCGAATCAAGTCTTGATCGTATATAGTAACTTGGAAAATATAATAAGAATATTAAGTTACATTAATACTTATGAGTAGGAGCTCGTTATATACTATCAGGTATATATACAACTTAGATTGGGCAATCAATTAAGCCATGATATATTTGTTAAAGTTTATAAACGGTAGGAATATAATATAAATAGTTGAATAATATGACGGAGGATAAATTAAGTTGATCAATAAATAAAAGTTGAAGGGTCTCTTTAAACTCATAAATTACTACGGATCGGATAAAAAGCACATGACAGAGTAACTAGAAGAAAGTCATCAGATTATCTTAAAATATTATATCAAGAAATGTTTTACCTTCTTGCAAAATGTGCAGCCATTGAAAAAGTGTATAATAGCCGGCCCTAGCTCAAAGACTTCCAAGTGGAAAAGAAAAGCAAAATTGCTTGGACAAATTATGAGAAAAGTGTATGCTTCTGCTCTATTATATAAGGGATGGATAGGACAGAAGGAGAAATTTTTTTATTACGCGGCACACCTATTGTCAGTTGTGTGAGGCTTTCTTTGGCTGCCAACTGTACAAATGGGGATCATGTCGTACTATTTCATTTTATTTCATCTTTATTACTTTTCTTATTCATTTTAAACTTTTCCTTTACTTTCTTTTTTTCTCCTTTTCCTTTACTTTCCTTTTTCCTCCTCTATACGTTACATTTATTGAGATCATAAAGAAATTTTGAGACTTACCCAAAATGTCTAATATTTCTATTTTATTTTTATATATTATTTATTTATTTGAGGAAAAATTTAAAGTGAATGTGACTAGAAAATTTCAATTTAATTCTTGAATGAAATTGAAGAAATTGAAGGTAGTGAAATTACAATTAAAAAAACGTAAAATTTTGTGTATTAATTTCATAAAATTGAACCTTTTATATTTCTGTAAGTATCTTATAGAATGATATATAAGGAATATGAGAATTTAGATATTTTGTGGAGTAATTCGTTTTTGTGTTCGTTTATAAAAATATTATACATTGATTTTTTATATAAATTAATGTTTTAAAAATTAAAAAAATGTTATAAATAGTTTTTTTAAATCACTTGGTTCTATTCATGTATTTCTCTTTACAATAATCAAATTGTTTGCATTTACTTCGTAATTTAATTTATATTTTTATCTTGATTGTCAAGAGTGCATTTTCATGTTCAAAATAACTCATGTTTTTAATTGATTATTTTTATGTAAATCAAATATCATCGAGACATAGTATATTGCAGCTAAATTTTTAACTTTTTGCCAAAAAAAAATCGTTGAAACAAATTTATCATAATTATTAGTAATGATTAAATTCTTAGATAATGCAAACACTTTTTTTGAAGGATCCTATATATAACTAGATCAATATTTGGATTAATTACTTGAGTGAATCCTTTTTAAAAAATAATTACTTATTTTAGATATACTCTTTAATTATTACCACTTATAGCAATATAAAAGAATACTCTATATTTTATTACATTTTTCTTTCTCTCGCCTCTTTCTCTTTTTTCTCTCTTAGCTTTTTAATTTTTCTCTCTTTCTCGCTCCTTTATTTTTGTTGCTCTTTCTCTCTTGCTTTCTTTTTGCTGTTTTTTCTTTTTTTTGCTTTCCTTTTGCTGCTCTTTCTCTCTCTCTTTCTGTTGCTTTTTTTCTTCTTTTGTTTCTCTCTCTACTTTCTTTCGTAGAGTAGTCAATGATACGTAGAATGAATAAAATTTGTATTAATAATTAATTAATTAAACAAATAATTTAATCGTTACAAATGAAGAGACATAATAAATTGCAAAATGAATTAAACTTGATTAAAAATGTATTACACACATTTAAAGTTGAATTCAAAATGTATTACACACAATGATCTATAGAGTAAGTTAAACTTGTATTAATAATGAATTAAACAAGTAATCAAATAGTAACAAATAAATAAAAAAAATTGCAAAATAAATTAAATTGCTTTAAAATTGTATTACACAATATTAAAATTGAATTAGAAGAGAGAAATAAGAATGAATGAAAAATGTAACTAACAAAAGACAAGACAACGATCTATAAACTGAATTAAACTCATATTATTCATGAATAAAACTTATATCATATGTATCTTATAAATTATCTTTACTTTTATCACTGAGAAAATGAGTGATGGTTGCAATATGTATTAAAAATGTATTGTACATGTCTTATAAATGTATTATTAATGCGTTACCTAAATTATTATTGTTGGTATCCGTAAGAAATGAGTGAAGTGTGCAATACGTATTATAAATGTATTATTCATAAATAAAACATGTATTATATGTGTCTTATAAATTACTTTTGGTTTGTATCACTAAGAATGTGAGTGATGTTTGCAATATGTATTAAAAATGTATTGTGCATGTATTATAAGTGTGTTACGTAAATTATTTTAGCTAATATCATTAAAAAGGGAATGAAGTTTGCAATATGTATTATAAATGTAGGATGTATTGTTCATGATTTTAATACAATTTTAATACAATTATGAAACATATCTAATACAACTTTAATACAAATGTGATATAATTTCGTAAACTTCATCCTTTTCTGTGATGACCCGGAAGGTTTTTTTTTTGGAAATTTTGAACTATTCGCTTAACTTGAGTTAATTATTCGATAATTAGTGGGCTAAAGTGATCATTTATTTAAGACCCCATACCATTAGGGCCATATGTTAAAAATAAGTTAGTGAATTTTGTCAATTTTAATAAATAATTAATTTAGAAATAAAGAAGATTCAGAATAGAAATTAAAGAAGAGGAAGAAACTAACCTTGGGTGGCGGCGTCCAAGGAGTTGGAACGAAGAGCTTCAGGTAAACAAATTTGTTTAACCAAACTTCAATTCTTCCGTAGGATTACCTTAATTACTCCTTACGAGTGGAATATTATGCTATGACAGTAATTGAATTGTAAAAGAAACAAAAGGGGAGGAAAAGAAAGTTAAATTGGTATATACAGTAGGTTAGGGTAACAATCTGAAAGTTTGGAATGGGTTTAAATTAATTGTCAATGTTGGTTTATTTTTTTTATATAGATATAAAATGTTAGTGCACAGCTACTGTTGTTTTCTTAATTTGGATGGCAAATTATCATAATGATTGGTCAAGCACTTGATATCCAACGATAGTGTAATAATGACCAAATAGTTGGGAAGTGCTGGATAGAAGTGGATTGTCAAAAATATAGTAAAGTTCTACGGGTGTTCATTCAAGTTGTGATATATTGAGCCAAGTAATGAAATATTGGGTGTATTATGTTACGAAAATTATTAGAGTTATAGTGTTTGGAGAAATTATGAATTAATCTTAGACTTGAAATTTAGTAAATATGGAATTTGACCTATTGGTTGGAATCAAGATTTAGGAATTTTATTGTACATTTGAGCGAGTTTTTGGGTCTAGGCTAAACCTATAGTAATATGGGCATTGTTAGTTCTGAAATCTTATTGTGAATATGCACTTGAATAGATTACATTGATTTGGAAGCTTAACGGAAAGGGAAGACTCAAGTCTCGGAGTGATTATTCGGTTATTTAAGGCAAGTGGATTTCTAAACCCTTGTTAAGCGTATGGAATTCGTGTATTTCCTTGTGGTATATGTTTGGGAGTAATGTGATCAATTGTTTGTGTGATGTGTTGAGAATTGTTTGAAAGACTTGTTGAATCATTGTTGAAGTTGTATCATGATTGTGTTGTTGTGAATTGTGCAATGTTATGAAAATGGTCATCTCCTAATTATTTGTGTGAACATGTCATTTGCATTGTTCTGACACATGGTTGTGACAAGTGTTATGTGCATTGAGAAAGAATAAGAAATTAAAGAGGATGTACCATTTCGAGGGACGTATCGCGCGCCGCGATGGATACTATATTTCGAGGGACGTGTCGCGCGCCGCGACGAATATTATATTTCGAGGGACGTATCGCGCGCCGCGATGGATGCATGGACAGATATGTCCCCCATGGGTCCCGGACTGAGAGACAGCGGGTGTGTATCATTAGGTCAGACATGCATCATTATACTTGACATTGCATTTCATTGCATTGCACATTTTTATTATTAATGAACTTGATCTTGTGTGTTGCTGATCTTGTGAGTGCCTTTTTGTGAAACTATTGATGAATATTGAGTTGTTATTGAGAATATATGATCTGTTAGAGTGCTATTGTTGAGCTGTATGCTTGGTAAACTATGAATTGTTAGGTTAGGCTGGTTTTATGCAGGTTGTAGTTATGGAGGTTAGGATGGGGCGTAAGGAGTACCCGTATTCTGTACCCTTAACTTGTGTTTAGAGGTTTGCTTGTTGAGTACCGTGTGGTTTGGTACTCACCCCTTGCTTCTACAATCTTTTGTAGGTTACGAGCCCGGATCTTCGTGATACCTTCCATTCTCTTCGTTTCCGAGGCTTTCTGTGGAGATCTGAGAGGTAGCTGTTTGTCATCTCAGCGAACCTCCTTACTCCTGTTTATGATTTTGTTTTTACTTGAAAGACAACATCATTTGAGACTTGCGTATTTTATTTCAATTCTAGTATTTACATTAGAGGCTTGTGCACGTGACAACCAAGTTTTGGGGATTGAATTAAGTTGACTTGTTTTCGTAATAGTAATTGCTATTGAACTTTGCTTTATTTCCGCACTTTATCGAAATGATTGGGTTTTAGGCTGACTTGTCTTGGTGGGATACGACGAGTGCCATCACATCCATTTTTGGGTCGTGACAAAATGGTATCAAAGCCCCAGGTTCATAGGTCTCACGTGTATACAAGCTGAGTCTAAGTAGAGTCTCGAGGATCGGTACGGAGACGTCTGTACTTATCTCTGAGAGTCTATAAAGACTATTAGGAAACTTCTTTTTTGTTCATTCTTTCTCATCGTGCGTGGTTACCTTCTTTAGTACTGAGCTATTGTATACTCCTTTGACAGATGACGAGGACTAGAGCGACTGTTACTGGTGGTAGAGGGGAGGCACTTCCCGAGGCAATTGTTGAGGCCCCAGCTAGGGGTAGGGGTAGAGCCCGAGCTAGAGGTCGTGCTCGTGGAACGACACTAGGCAGAGGTCGTGGCCGTGGAGCAGCACCAGTTAGAGGTCGTACTAGAGAGGCCTCTCTTGAGCCCCAGATTGATGACAGAGAGGACCAGGTTCCTCCAGAGCCTGCAGTCACACCTTTGCTTCAGGATACATTATTGAGGGTATTAAGTGTGCTTGAGAGCTTTACTCAGGGTGGTGGTGCGACCGCTACACCACAAGACTCTCAGACTAGAGAGGGGGCTCAGACCCAAGAGCAGCAGGAAGCTCCAGTTATGCATGATGCGGTG